CTGGTGAGTATTGACATGGGACACACTTATCTTCACACTTGATGTGCATTTGCAAGGGTCTGGCCTCTTCCCCAGACCTTTTTGTCACCAGTTTTCTAATCATGTTCTTTCCAAATCCCTGACCATCCAGTCAAACTATCAGTTACTACCCGCCCATAGATCCGTACCTCTGGCCATTTTTTCCTTCTATGCACAATAGACAACCAGGTACACTGCTTGAATTCTGTACCCTAGAAGTATTTCTCTTCAGGGCCACCCCTGAGTGATACTACATATGGAATCTCCTATGGGTCACACTTTGCACTTGATGTCCTGAGGCCTGGGAGGTCCTGAGTTTGACAAATAGAATTCAGAGTAAGAGATGCTCAAGAGAAGCCTTGCTGTTTTTCCTCTGGTACTTTGAAATACACATGCTATGAAGAAATTCAGACTGAAAGTCTATGTAGAGAAAAAGTCCCAAAAGTTCCAGATGTTCCAACAATTCAAGCTGAAGACCCGAAAATGTGTGTGAGGCCAGAGTAAATCACCCAGCTCCAGCTGGTCTCGCAGGTCACCACGGCCAGATGCACACATCCAAAGAGGAACAGCAGAAATTCCCTGTCGTCCCCACAGAAAGTGGTTGTTACTTTAAGTCACTGAGTTTGAGGGTGGCTTGATGCAATAATCTATACGTTTAGAAGATACTATTCACATTTAAACCATCATAAATTATTCTTGATACCCAATTTGGGGTTTTACTCAAGAAAATCATCTTCCTTTACATCTTCCTTTCAGAAACAATATTATTTCTGTTGATGTGGGCCGCACCATCTTCCACAGGCAATTGCAGTGGGACTTCCAATTGTCATATTGGTATTATGGATTACTTCAACTTGAATTTGTTTGATTTGATTTAACATGAGTAAACAGTGGGGAGAAGTTTACCAAGAGCTATTAAGGGTTTTGGGGCAGGGGGATAAGGTATGAGGAGAGGATTACCAAAGAAATAGATTTCCAAGATAGAAGGATTACTCACAGCTGTTTGACTAAATTTGTGCTAACATGAAAAGTAGATAAGGTTTGTAAATCAGTGGAATTACTACAGGAATGAGGAGGAATCTGTAATGATAATATGATAATATTTATTGAGAT